GCACTGGCTTGAAAACAATGGCCGTCACCTGATGACCGGTCCTCATGTTCTGGGGATGCAGTAGACGTGGGGGGGGGGGAGGAGCAGACAGGAAGTTGATTGCGTACTGTGGGATACTGGGGATATTCGGCTTTTTTCATTCACTTGATGGCCCATGACGTAAGTACATACCAAATGTTTCACTGCCTTGTACTGTCAAACCGAACTAGGTTAATTATTTTTTTCCTCTTCAAAAAATAAAAAGGAGCCGGAGTCGCCCCCTTTTTTGGCGGCTCCGGCTCCGGCTCCGGCTCCGGTCTATATTGTTTCACGGCTCCGGCTCCGGCTCCGGCTCCGGGCAAAATATGCCGGCTCCGGCGGCTCCGGCTCCGACTCCGGCTCCGGCTCCGCATCCCTGATTGTCTTCTCAGTAGGCCCGGGACTCTGTTACACAAACTCATCTCTAAACAGTCGATAGATTAGAACACGCAGTTTCCGCAACAAAACACAGGTGTGATGAAACCACGAACGAAAAGTCACATGCAATCAAGGAGAGCGAACGTGATCAAAACAAGTGCTTATTCAGACTCGGCTGGTGCTACCGCTGAGTGCTGACCTAGCCACCGTTTGTGGGTCGAGTGCTGAGCGGCTGGCAACCACCGACCGGCGCTTTGGCGCCACTCCAGGAGCGCGGGCCATCAGTAGTGGTGTGGTGTGAGCAGGACAGCACCACCGCCAGGGCGGGGCCGACACCAGCTTTTGGCAATGGTAGTGACTGAGCAGGACAGAGCCGCCACGGACGGCCGATGCCACTTTCCTGGTGTGAACGGTCTTTCCCGACGGGTTAGAATGCTCTATGTACGTTGGTCCACGTCAGCGGTCGAACGGATCTGGGCCAGTTCATATCGGCTCACGGTGGGGAATGGTCAGCCGGGTGGATAATTAAAACTTGCTTGTGCTAGACACTTACTTTTTTTCTAACTACACCGCCTCCTTGAATTACTTGAATCAGAATGAACTAACTACTTGAATGAATGGATGCCACAAAACTGCCTCATTTCAGTTTTCACTACCACTGTTTGTTGGTTTTTAAATAAAATGGCAGAAACTAACCCCGCGTTCGATGTCTCTCGGACGGCGAAGATTCTACGCCGTCCGGCCAATCACGTTCTATAACCGCAGCCGAGCCCCCGCTGACCTTGGACGGGATTGGCCGGACGACGTAGAATCTTCGTCGTCCGAGAGACATCGAACGCAGGGTAATTATGCCTGTTTTTAATATCATCCAGTGGGCAATCCCACAGAATAGCTCATTGAGCAGGGGACAAGACAGAATTTGATAATGCAGCTTATTATAGGTTAACCTTAAGTCATTATGAGCTGTCAGTGTGTAATAACCGTATAAACTCATCACAAGTTTTTAACTTGTAAAAATGTATGGGAATCTAATATCCCAGCCCAACCCAAACCAGAGTCCAGAATCACTTTTTTCTGAAACATCACTGCACCACAACACTTCCAAAACAATGCTTGGGTCATGGGCATGGCGCATATTTTTTAATGAAGTCCCAGCCAACATGCCCATGGCATATGGGGCCATGGGCCCCATATGAGTAGTTGATGGGCATGGTGGGCTAGGTGGGCCATGGGCTACCGCTAGAGATGGGCAGATATGTGGGCCCCACATGAGCTGCCCATGTATTTTTTGACATGCATAGTCCTTGGAAATGAGATTGTCTGCACCATATAGGAGGGCATACCCAGGAATTTTGGTGAACATATATTTTTGCAAGCATTCATGCGGTGTTCCCGTATGGTGGGGTAAACGTGGGCACTGTGTGGGCATAGTGGGGTTAAGGTGGGCTGGATGTGGGCAGCCATATGGGGCCCATGTGGGCCCCATATGGTACCCACCTTGAGCCCATGTGGGTCAGCCCAGGTGGGTCCCACCATTTTTCCAGGGACAAATTTATGTGGGCCCCACCAAGTGGCCCACCTTGGCCCAATGTGGGGCCAATGTAATAATGCTGGCTGGGGTACCCCCGCGTGAAGCACAATTGACCATATATGGAAGTGGCCATGTTGCTACATCATTGTCTACACAACTGATGCATGAGAGACCCAGGTACAAAGTCAGTAGGGTCAGCCAAATAATCAGCCTTGTGTTGTAATTTTCCACATCAAAGTCAAAGTGGAAATATCTACCCTTGGTGGTAAACATTTAAGGATTGCTTATGCCTTATATTCAGTGCACTCGGGCAGTGGTGCCGATTCCCAGTCTGCTAGGTTGGGACTGGTGCAGACTGCAGATTTGTCAGTTGACACCCTACTCCTAGCTAGTGGAACTGGTCAACCCTGTTTCCACGCTTTGTAGTCTGTAACATTCGTCATTCCTAAATCCTAGCAAAAGGGTTTGCAGTCTGCACCACAGGTGGTGGAGCTGATCATATGATTGTTTAACCCGCGCCGGGCCGGGGGGGGTTTGCCCCTGCAGTTTTTCGCAGATATCTCAAAAACGGCGGCGCTCCGCGCCGCCGTTTTTGCCACACCTGTTCGTGCATCTTTTCCACACATGTTGTGAAAATTTCAGACCCAGGTCACCTTAGGTCAGGTCACCAGGTCACGCCAAGTGACCTCACCTCAGAAAAAATAAGAATGGTCGTCATAGCTACACCGATTGATCGATTGTCTTGAAACTTTCAGCGATTGATTAGAGCAACATTATCTATAAAATGTATATCTCGGAATTTTGATATCGGTGACCTAAGGTCAGGTCAATTTTGCGACTTCTCCATTATAAGTCAATGGGAGAAAATTGAAAAGCGTCTGTTTTGCACAAACGTTATGCTAGACACTCTCAAACATCGAGATGTAGGTAAAATGGACACACTGAACCGGAAAATGGCAACTGTGACCCCTCGTTATGTCCCCGAGGTCATCTCAGGTCACGAACAGAATCTAACAGTTTTTCGCTAATAACTTCTGATAGAGACATGCTAGAGCGCTGAAAACGCCTTAGATGTGTTCGGCTCGACGTTGCGGATCGACTGATATGCAACATGACCTTTTCCGGTCAGGTCATGACCTTGACCTGAGGTCAAATTTTCAAGTTAACCTTTCAAGGTCAAATTATAGTTCATTCGACGCGTCTCGACGAGAGGAACACGATGGTGGCAAAAGTAATGTCATGACTCTTTTGAGTCAAAAGTTATTGCCGAAAAAACGTTTTTCGTAAAAACGGATATTTTTGAAGTTTTTGCCCTCTGGAGGCTAAACCGTTGACCTGAGGTCAAATCTGAGAACAGTACTCAGAAAGGTCTGTAAAAGGGCTATCGAATGCGCTTTTCCGCGGCGCTGTAGCTCTATCGGTTCCCGAGATTGCCGTTGGCAGTTTCCAAAATGTTGAAATAGTCAACATTTTACATTTGGTGACCTCTGGTGACCTGACCTTTGACCTGACCCAAAACATGACCAAAGTGTTTTCGTCCTTATTTTACACGTTCTTTCGATTGCCGCTTACCGCGTGTCGCTACGTGGCCCAGGAGCGGAGTTAGAAGGGGGTGTTCGTTCAGACACCCCCCGGCCCGGCGCGGAATCTCAGAGCACCGGCCCGGCGCGGGTTAATGTAAAATATTACAAGCATTGATGGCTTATCACACTGCACTGATGAAAATAACAATAATTTTCACTTCAATATTATTTACCATGTTTCACCTATTCACAGCTATTTTGGCAAGTGGGTGTAATTTTGGCATCAACTTGAACTTAGCACTCAGTAGCCAATGGAATAAGTAAACCTTTGTGTCATTATTCACCTTGAGATCAAATCAGACATATCTAGTACGAAAAAACCTTACCTTTCAGCGTAGCGCTCGTCCTCGACGCCGAATTCACAGGAAGTTGAAGTGGAACCTGCGACGAGCTTCCACGAGATGCGGTGCTGACCGTGACGCGTGGCTTCAGACAAATATCAAGCCTTATTCAATGAACTTTCAGTTCACTTGAAGAGCGTATTGCAAAACCTAGAGTAATTTGTGTAAATGAGCGGCAAGTCCCAACCTGTCCCAACCAGCTTGCAACGCAACAAGCAACACAACACCGTGAACACAACGAATGTAAAAAATGCGCGAGCCGACAGCAGGCTAATTCGTCACATGCGTCACGTTCGAAAAGGCAGGGAGCTACCATATTGCTACCAAATTACACACGAACTTTTACGTGAAGTGATTTGCTTTCTTCCATGGCAGTAGTAAAGGTAATCTTGCTATTATTTCTCACCTCTTCAACCTGCGCCGAACGTACAGGACTTCATATCAAAACGATTAGTTTGTGAATGAAATGATATTCGAAAGGTCTATCAGCACCACCGATACGGCCTTTGATAGGCGTGTCTGATGAATTCTGATTCATTAGAGAGCACAATACTGTCTGTGAATGTGTTACTCCAAACTCCCCAATAACTCCCAATCCCAATAGTAGTCCCAAAGCCAATAGCTACTCGGCCTTTGCTCACTGATGCCAGTTTCAAGTTTTCCACGTTACCGGAATCAAGTAGCACCCCACAATAGGTGACCGTTCTTTTAGCGATCGGAATAGCCCTCCGCGACCCCGTTCCTTACTTTTGTCATAAAAGACATAGGCGGCGGAACGGGGAGGGCACCGGGGCACCGTGCCCCCCTTTGATTTTGGCATTTTAACATTAGCCCTATGGGCGTTGCATGGAAAGAATGGGACCAAAAGTCGGCAGTGAAGGTGTTCCGCCGCTACTGATGAAAGATGAAGTATGCTTTATGATCGTGGTTACTCGACGCAACCGCCATTGTGAAGTGATAGCGCGTTATCAGTTTATAACACTCTGGACGTTTGCGCCATGAGAAACCAGATCGCTAAACCTTGCTGCCCAGGCGTCGCAAACCCCACCAAGCACTCTGATCAGGACCGTAGCAATGATAATTAACCTGAGTACGCATCTCACTCCGGTAACCTTCCGGAAATCCAACCGTCCCACGACAACGCCCAGCAAGAATCATAGCACAATTTTATTTTCAGGGACGTGAGCTAATCCCAAGCCAAAGACGTACATGGTTACAAGATGATGCGCCACGTGCATGGCGAGGAGCCCCTGGTCGCCATGGATACGGCATTAAAACAACACCAACACAGAGCTGGAATTCAGAGCGGGCCTCGGCCTCAGAGAGAAGTTGTCTGTGCTTCGCTGTCATTAAAACTATCTGACGGCGCCGGTTGAGTCCGCCCCGGGGCTCCTGGCCGGCAGCGGCGGAGACCGTGCAGCCACCTGGCGGCGTTACCGACAACTAGTGGTTCACGGCGGCGGCCGGCGTGACCGCGGGCAGGTGATGATGAGATGACGTGACGACGTGACGATGGCGGGCGGCGGCGACATCCGCCGGAATGGAGCCAGCGCGAGCGAGCGAGCGAGCGCGCGGCCTCGGCGCCCTCAGCGCCCTCCCGTCTGCTCCTGGTACACCTCGATCACGTCGTCGTTCTCCATTTCCAGCGCCTTGGGTGTTTCGTCATCGTTGATCCGACGGCCGTCGAACAGAAACCGCAGTGACGTCACGGGCACGCCCTGCCGACGGCAAAAGGGAATTTAGAGGGGAACAACAGGGATAGTTCAATGGGACGAGAAAAGTGAAGGGGAGCAGCCGACGAAAAAGGTTGGATAAGAAATACCCATCGGGCGACGGGGAGGAAGGTGAATTACAAAAGCAGTCGACAGTCAAGTCCAGTGCGCCGAAACAATATAGTTTGCATGACAAAGTTCCATACTGCCGGCAGTGAAATAACGAAAATCGATAGACATGACGTCAAATACATTAAAAAACCGGTATTGACATTAGCATTTCCAAAATGGCCAAATTGCTTTGAACAGACAAAGGAACGCATTGAAATCGATGTATGCCTTAGATAATTGTGAGATCCGGGTCGCTAAAGTAATTAAATGGAATGACGATGTAAAACCAAGCTAATATCCGGACCAGAGAGGAGACACTAAAATGCACTGCGACAATAAGATCACAAAGAATACTCGTGATACGATATCAGTCGCTATCTATCCCATCAATCAACCGCATATCGAATGTCACTTATATCGCTTACGTCGCAACGATATCGGCATACAATGAGCAAAGATAAATGATGAGCAATAAATGACGCAAAGTTGGATCAGTAGCTTTCTGCTAAAACAACAATGGAGAGGTAGCGTTAGACTTGGCATGGTTCACACGCAGATACGTACCACTCGTTCACTGTAGGACTTCTTCAGCTTGCCCATCTGCGTGGTCATCTTCACCCGGAAGTGAATCTCATTTGAATCCTGAAAAGAAAAATGTGATCAGGTGAAGAACTTCACTTCGATGGGATGGGACATTTTTTTATTTAATTGAAATGAGATATTTTCGATTTGAGGCATTTCTCGATGTTGTGAGTGCTCAAACCGGTAAGTGCAAGCCACGGAGCCCATTTTGGCTATCTTAACTCAAAACCAATGTTAACCCGCGCCCTGGTGGGGTCTGTTTATAACACGACCTGGTGGGGGGGGGGGGCTATTTTTTTACCCCCCCCCCATATCTCCGAAACTATTGAACAGATCCGCAAAATTCAAACGGCGTTCGAAAGCCCTGTCAAGTTCGCCAAGGGAACTCCAATTTCATTGACCTCAGGGTCACCGATGACGTCACAGGTCAGGTCAAAGAAAAATTTTTGCCAGCCACGGGTCCTCTAGGGAATGCACTATAACATCGAGTAAAGCGCATTTTCTCGAAAATCAGTGATAGGGCGTCAGTTGCCTAGTACATATGTTGCTATTAGAGATCACTGATAGCACCAGGTCAGGTCACAGGTCAGGTCACCAAGGGGGGGAGGGAGGGAGGGGGAGGGGGAGAGAGAAAGAGAGAGAAAAAGAGAAAGAGAGAAAGAGAGAGAAAGAGAGAAAGAGAAAGAGAGAAAGAGAGAGAGAGAGAGAGAGAGAGAGAGAGAGAGAGAGAGAGAGAGAGAGAGAGAGAGAGAGAGAGAGAAGAGAAGAGAGAGAGAGAGAGAGAGAGAGAGAGAGAGAGAGAGAGAGAGAGAGAGAGAGAGAGAGAGAGAGAGAGAGAGAGAGAGAGAGAGAGAGAGAGAGAGAGAGAGAGAGAGAGAGAGAGAGAGAGAGAGAGAGAGAGAGAGAGAGAGAGAGAGAGAGAGAGAGAGAGAGAGAGAGAGAGAGAGAGAGAGAGAGAGAGAGAGAGAGAGAGAGAGAGAGAGAGAGAGAGAGAGAAAGAGAAAGAGAAAGAGAGAGAGAGAGAGAGAGAGAGAGGGAGAGAGAGAGAGAGAGAGAGAGAAGAAATGATGGCCAGCCATCATTGTTGAAAGAGGCAAGGATTGGGATCGAGCTGAATACGGAAAGACTGAAACTCAAGATGGGCTATATATTTGGCATGCTATTTATGAGCATGACATTTATCACTCAATGGAAGATAAGCCAATGATTATGCCTCAAATCTCAATTAGTTAAAATGATTTACTGAAACAGCATACAGGAAGCTTATGACGAAAACGGCGCACCTTGCGACATCACAAATAACACTTTCGCACTTCCCATACAACAGAAACTGGTCAATCCAAGGGTAAATATGAACGTACCTGCCCTACCACCTTCAGCTTGATGTATTCTGACCCAGCATCTCCACCCTCCGCCGGCTTAGACTCCTGAAAAAGAACAGCTTTTAGAATGCCATTAGGATTATGCGGACAAGTGTAGCCCATGAACCTTCCTTTTGTCTGATCAGAGCAAAAGGCAAAACAGAAATATATGCAAGCAAGCAGTGCGTACTTACATCAGCCATTTTTAGAGTTGAAGAAAATGCAAAATATCTATGAATAAGTTACTTCCAACCACGTTTCACGACCGCGAACAAATCCAACCGGCTCGGCGCCAAAAAGGATGCTAATGGCGGCAAATAACTGCATGGCCGTGCGCCGCATTCGTCCCTACTTATATAGAGATGTATCTTGTCAAATTTTGACCCATTGTTGCTAAGATTCTGTGCATATCAGCTTGTAAAAATAAGTTCTACCCGCATTTTTCCTTTCTTTGTAATTTGTCGATTTTTTGGTCTGGATATTTGTTAAACCGAATTTAGTTCCAATAGATTCGTTTTTACTCCATTACTAACACCTTAGAGCAGCCAATTTTCTGTCCGCATGCAGTTCCCTTAGATTATTCTTAAAAAAATGTAAATTGTTTGAACATTTCTAAACGACGAAATAAACACCAGACTGAGCTTAGCATCTCAGTTCCTATCTATGATATGATATCTCAAGCTACGGCCCACGGGACTATGACTTCTCATGACCTAACCAGCGATCCGACTAATGAAGTAGGAACGTGTGATAGGTCTCTTATAGGCATCTTGTTATGAACTATCCTAGCTAACTCCCACCAACTCACTCAGCCAATGCGGCCTAACACCTTGGTATGGGTTCGCTCACGAATAAGTTCCAGTGAAATAATCACAAAAGCTGATCAGTCGGGAAAAGAGCCAATGAAATATTTCTTACGTATCAAAACCATGAATAATCCACGAACGACTGAATACATTTGACCACGGGGAATCATCGCATGCAAGTGTCAGTTCAGCTTCTATCAGCCCTAAACTCCTGGCCAACATAAAATACGCTTCCCATCGCCAAATGTAGCTACCCTTCATTCCGAGCGTCAGTGCGCCATCTCCCATTCAGCTGCCGCCCAGTCCTCCGACGTGCACAGACGCGCCTCGCGGTCAACAGGCTGTATTTCGTAACGGAATAAAGAGGCGGTCATCCGCAGCGAAGACCGCCGCGCTGCGTATCCACACCGGATCCACCGCTCCGCGCCCGGATCCACAACGGATCCTACAGGGACCGGATACGGGACCGTCAGGTCTGGGATATCGCATTCGCAACAACGTTCAGCCGCCGCCGGCAAACGGACAGCACTGCGACCGGCCGACGGCGCCACGCGGACACAACGAATGAGTTCAGTGGAGCAATAGCGGCCGATGACATGAGCTAACACGGGGTTCACTACCGACGCGCGCTGTGCCGCCCTCAGAAACCGCGCGCGGCGCGATCAACAACACGTAACACAGGCCGGACTAATGGCTAACACCGTGCTTCTACGCAAAGTGCTACACTCGATTGGGAAAACAGCGTCGTGGCTGCTACGTCCACCACTGCTGCCTGGGAAAATGTAGAGCAGCAGAGCAGGCGGAGAGGGCACGTGGGATGCGGTCCGGCCCGGCCGGTCACCCTTTGAACATACAGTCGCACACAGACACACACATACCGACAGTCCCGAGTCGGCCGGGGACATCCAACATGGCGCTGTTGGGACACTTCCAATATGGCGCCGCCGTCCGAAAATACACACACCAGCACGCCGATCCGCGCACACAACTCCACACAGCAAACTGCACAAGTGGGCCACGCAGAGACGTCTTCCCGCCAACATCGAGAACAAGCAGATCTGGTTTATAGCATTGCCAAAGAACAAACATTTGTCACAACAAAACACTGGTTGACTACTGTCGTAACAACTGACTGCTCGCCTATCACCCCGCCGCCCGGGAAAACCCGCTCTCTATTCATCACTCTACTACCCCCTCCCTCCCCAGACAGTCGAGAGTTCCGCAGGAGAAGCAGAGAGCCCTTCTCCGAAAAGGGGACACCTACCCCTCCCTCCCGGACACTGAATGAATGGACCCCGTTCCCACACAGCTATAGATCACAGGGTAAATCGGAGACAGCGGCGGCGGCGGCGCCCCTAGCGGCGGCTGCGCGTCTCCCCGCGGGCGCCGGGCAGAGGCGGGGCCTTCCCCGGAGCCCACGGCAGCTGGAACTCTCTGGAACGGGGACACACGGAGAGCGGTCAGACTGGGACATTGATCACAGCGAGGCTGTGGCACACTGATTCATACGGAGACCGCATCAAGCAAACACTCTGTTCCTTTCACCATCAGAGAAACAAGTTCAGCAACATAAGTGAAATTAGAATGTTACAATAAACACACTAGAGCTATCACACTTAATATGTCGAGATCACACTAGCTAGCGAGAAAGAGTGACTCGTTAAGAAAGTCGTTCAATTAGAAAACTGTAAAAAGAACAAGTTCACTTATTCAGGCGTCAAGGTCAGCTCTCTTGAAAGTTCGATGCATAAAAGCAAACAACTAAAACTAAGAGAACTGAGGACCAGAAGCCTCTCTAACCGCCTCCATGTAAGATGGCATTACATCTGCTACCATCTCGTTATTCCCCCATCGGCAGCAGCAGTGCCTGGTAACCTCCACCGCCCTCGCTCCTCTGCCCTGCCTCTCACCTATGCGCCAGCACGGGCAGGTTGGAGCCGAACGCGCAGACGGGCAGCTGAGGCGCCACCTGCAGGTACAGCGCGCCGCTGGCCGGCGGGCGCAGCGTCAGCGACCGCTCCGACTCGGCTGGGTCCGCCGAGCCGCCGCCGCTGCTGGCGGAGCGACCGCCGCGGCCCCGCGAGTACGACTGCTTCAGCTTCTCGTAGGCGCGCTGTTCGCGGAGCCGCTGCAGGTCCCACCTGTGGGCCGGGGCTCGGGTTAGAGACCGTCAGGTTCCTACGCATATGCACGTGGGCCACTAGCGTAAGGCCAGAAGGAAGATAGCTTAAACCGAAAAACTTAGCCATCATCAGCTTTGATCTCCGCAGGCTCCCCCTTATGTCGATAGCAGACAGTTACACACTTTCAGCACTGAGCGTTGTTCCAAACAAACATTACATATAACACAAACAACAGAACCATGCATTGTGCAATGTGCAATGTGCATCTCTCCATCCATCGTGCTGCGACACGATCCACCCACCGTTTGCGGCGCTTTTCGTCGACCTCCAGCTTGAGGTGCCGCTTGGCGAAGACGGCGTCGTCTGTGCTTTCCGCCGGCTCGGCGTTCGGCAGCGGCGTCAGCGGGTTCAGGGTCCAGCGCGGAATCTGACCACATCGAACGTTTGGCGGTTATATGACGTCGCAGGCAAGGAAGGCATATTTACTCCGAGCACCGAGCAACAGCCATTACTGTCGTGAAAACTTTCAAGCTGGCCGATGCGAGGTTCACTCAGACTAGCGCGGGACACTTAGGCATAAGGAATCAGGGAAACCGGTTACAGTAAAACTAAATCGAAATCGGCGTCAGCTGCTGTGTCAGGCAGACCCGAGGACCAGTGAAAACCAGCATCAGGCAGGGTCGCGATGAATCAGTTTAAGGCGAAGTGCGAACCACGAACGTAAAAAGATGGAGCAGGGCCAGAGCTAGATCCAAACGCGAGGCGGACAAGGACAATCGTAAAACGAGACCACGGCCGGCGCAACAGATCAGCAGTCAGCACCGGTCTGACGGAACTGTACCACCATCGTCGGACTTTCCTCAGTGCCAGTGGTCTGACTGACCTCAATGTACGTTTGTCGTCCGGCTCCCTCTTCCGTGTCCGATTCTTCCACCTCGGCTGGTATGTACTGATAGTACTCGGCGTCTGTCAACATACACTTCCTGTGGCGGGCCGGCTCGTCTCCTGCAGGATACAGAGACCGTCACGGATGGTACGGGACAGGAGGGGACGTCCAACGGTACGGTCACTGAATGAACGGGACATACGGTTCGATTTACGAGCAAAGGGCCGATGGCATGAATTACGGTACGGAGATGACTAAGTACGCTGCATTTGGCACAATAGTTCAGATATGTGAGTTGAACCACGCTCATAACTGTGGCCATTGATAGTGATTGCGATAAGCTAAGAGATTGATTGAATATGAATGCCAAGATCGTGCTATATTGTCCGGGTGGAAAAAATTCTGAAGTGAGCGCTCTGCACGTTCTGCAGCGGCACCTTTGCGGTAGAGTTTGCGCTGCAGCCGGCGGCTCTCGGTCGAAGTGGAGATTTCGGCGGGCCGGTCAGCTGGAGCCGGAGCCTGCGCCGGAGCCGGAGCCGGGTGCCGCTCCGCCGGACTCGGCTCCGGCTCGGTGGCCGCCGAGGAGCGCCGCGCGCGGCTGCGCATGGGTCGGCGCGGCGCCGGCACCGGCGGTGTGGGCGCCCGCTCGTCGCCGCTGGTCTGCGTCTGCTGGCTGGTGCGTGCCACCGGAGAGCGGGGAGAGGTGGCCGAGTCGACACGGGTGACGGGCGCGGGCGCGGGGGCCGGCGGAGCCGGAGCCGGCGGCGGCGGCGGCGGCGGCACGGCGCCCGGAGAGCGGGCGGGCACAGACAGCCGCCGCTCCATCCGCTCCATCTTCTGCAGCAACTGCACGACCAGAACAGACAGAGCCAGTCAGACACTCATGGCAATCAAAACAGTATCAAAGCCTCCACAGACAACACTGCTCCGGGCAGTCACAAAGCATTATTTACTAAAATTTAGAGGGAAGTCTGGTAAGCATCCCTCACACCTACAATAAGATGCCTACAATGAAGTTGGCACTCACTCACCAGTTCATTCTCTCGTCGAAGCGCCTTGAACTGAGTTTCCCTAGTGGCAGCTTGGTCAGCCTGATGCTGGATTAAATCCAAATGAATGGAGAGCATCTCCTGAGGAAAAGCGGCACATCATGTCATCAGCAGGGTCACATCCCATACAAATTCCCAAATGCCCTGAATTACATAATAAATACCCATGAAGGTGACTATACATGATAATCAGGATTGTGCTTCATTTCAACTCAACACATCATATAAATAATAAGGAAACATTGTAAAATGCAAACTTTATCAATGAAACAACATCACAAACATTGTTTAAGTTCTTAGCAATTTCAATTCATTCAAATGCTATCTCTAGTATCTACCTACTAACTACCTATATACTCTGATTCCAGCATTGTTGACTAGTAGGTACCTACCTTTAACTTCTTGATTTCCTTCTCCATTCTATGCCTCTCATCTGGTCCAAGTGCAGTGGTCTTGCAATTTGAAGCATAAACTGACATTCAGATAGCAT